TTGGGACGCCTCATGATGTTGAATGCTGGCTCCGGCGGCGGGAGTCAAAACCAGAATCCAGACGCCACTCCCAATTCCAATCCCCTAGTTGCCATCTGGAATGACAGGCTGAAGCGGTCCCTGGGGAATCTGGACAGGCGCTTCAAGCCGAAAAGCGAGGGCGGTGATGGTGCAACGTGGCTAGCTGGCGATGAGTTTACGGCAGCGGATATTATGGTTGTGTTTTCGTTGACGACGTTTAGGAATTGGTTTGCGTATAGCTTGCATGGGTATGATGGGATTCTGGGTTATTTGGCGAGAGTTGGCGGGAGAGACGGGTATAAGAGAGCAATGGCTAGGGCGGATCCGGATATGCGATTGTTGTTGGGGGCGGAGGTGTCTTCATCGCAAGGTTGAGGGTGGGATGGAGGTGGAAGGATGGGTGTGAAGTGGGTATGTTACGCGAATGAGGGATGAGGGGGATTAGGGGGAACGACTCCGCTCAAGATCAATAGACGTAACTAGATCGTGGAAATAATGTATGGAGTCTTGATTTTCGCCGTTCATGTGGTAATATCGTACCTATGTGTATGGGTGAAGAAATTTTGGAGAAATATCCGGACTAAAGTAGGCACCTTATTCGGGAAAGCTGAATTTTTGCCCCTGAAACGAATTCGGAGAGGAAAACAGTAATGGGAAAGACTGCACAAATGAAAACATCAAATACAGATATAAATGTACTCAGAGAAACAAAATGATAACAAAAGATACGCACATTATGATATGAATATAACTGCCCCTATATACATACGCGGACAGGTAGCATGGAGAAAATAAACACCAAGCCAGAAACACCAACCGCCTCATATGACATAATTATCATCTTGCTGGCAGTCAGTGATACTCTCCCAACAAAGGGCTCATATACGACCCATCATTGCACCGTCTCGAGAGTCAAAACTCAAGCATCCCAATCACAAACCAAAACATCAACAAGCAGCCCGCTGCTTCTACCGTGCACTACTGTTCCTTCTGCACGTCGCCACCATCACTCGTGGAACCCGCAGTGACGACGGCGCCTTTATTTTCCTTGGCGGCGTACCCGTCAGTTTCCGCCGCATTGGTGTTAGAGTTGGTGCTGATTGCATAGCCTTGATCATCCAGGACATCTTCGCGCCAGAAATCTTTCTTGCTGTTATCGTGTGAAAGTGGAGTTGTTAGTTTGGCTCTTATCGCTCTATATGGTGGGAAAGTAATAAATAAAAGGAGGGGGGAGGGGACTAAAAAATAAAAATAAAAACCTACCCATTCACCAACCGAACCAACCACGCTGGCAAAATCCCCCCAGGAACCTTCCATGACCACGGCTCTTTCAGATTCTTATTATGCGGCACAATGCGGCCGCGCGAGGCCTTCTCGAGGATGAAAGCCACCGTGTTCAGCAGGATATACGACATGATTCCCGCAATGAGGCCGTACGCAATCGAGTACGTAAAAGGCATGACCGCCAGCGTAATAAAGGCCGGAACCGCATCTCCGATATACGACCAATTGATCTCTGATGCGACCCTAGTCATCATCGACCCGACCAGGACGAGCGTACAGCCAGTCGCCCACGGCGGGATCGAGGCGAATATAGGCGCGAAGAAAATGGAGATAAAGAAGCAGAGTCCCGTGACCATGGCGGTGATGCCCGTGGCGCCTCCTTCAGCAATACCGGCGCCCGATTCAACAAAAGCTGTTACGGGAGACAGGCCTAGAAGGGAGCCAATTGAAATACTCACTGCATCGACTATATAGGCTATGGCGGATCCTTCAAAGTCTTGCGTTTTTTCATTGATTGCGCCGCAGTACCGTGCCATAGAGTATAGGGTGCCGGTCGCATCGAGAATGTCGACGTAAAGGAAGGTTATAAATGCCAGGCCGAATTGGCTGCCTGCGGTGCTGAGATCCCAGTCCTGGGCTATTAGTGTGTTCTTGATGGGGTGGAAGGTGACGACCTTCTTGAAGAAGTCGAACGAGTCGTCTCCCTTGGCATTGTATGGGAAGAAGGTGACGTTGGTCGGACGGGGCCAGGAGATAACGGACACGAGGAGGATACCGGCGATGATGGCGCCCTTGACACGGTACATGAGGAGGATACAGGTGAACACGCCACCACAGAATAGGCCGATCCAAAACGTTGGGTTGCGCAGTTTGGCTCCGGAGGGACAGACTCCGTCTATCATTTCACTCTCCACACATCCAGCAAGAGTTAGGGGCGTTGCCTTGTCGCCAGTGATGGCGCCAATACCGGCACTGTAGGTTAAGCCTATGAGAGCTATTTAAGGGACATACATTGTTAGAAACCGTTGGCGGGGGGAGGGGGGCGTGTAGGACAGAAAAATCAGGTCCAGGGGACACGAAACGCACATAGATAGAGTCCGATACCAGCGCCTGAAGCCAGCTTAATCGACCGTGGAATAGCTCTTGCCAGCCATTGGCGCATTCCGCATACCGACAAACCCACGAAGACAAACCCTTCAACGAAGACAGCGGTGAGCGCAAGTCGGTAAGGAACGGGGCCAGTGCCACGAAATCCAACAACGCTATACGTGAAATATGCGTTCAAGCCCACTAATAGCGGAAATGGATTCTATTAGCAATGATATATATTGAACCAAACTTGGTGTTGCATTGTTTTCTGTTTTCCTTTTCCGAAAAGAGAAATACGTACTTCCAGGACCCAGTGCGATTGGCATATTGGCAAATAAACCCATACAGAACGACGAAAGGGCAGCTATCGCCGCAGTACCCGTAATGAAGTCCCGCCTGATCGCATTCAAGCACAACTCATATTCCGTGTTTCCCATACATGTTGGGTCCTCCGGGTCGTTGCAAACACATGTGCCGCCGGATTGAGAAGTGATGTTGGAATTGACCTGTTAGTTCATTAGTACTATCATTCTTCATGCTGCATTTTGCAAAGCCGCAAGGATTGCATATATAGAGAGAGGTATAAGTACATACAGATATGATGTAGGCCATGGCAAAGAATGTGGTGAGGCCGGCACGGACTTCAGTTAAGAAGCGCGTTCCCTTCCGCTCATGTCGCTAGGTGAAAACAGAAGTTGAAATCGTCAGTCTGTAAGGCTTTCCTTTGATTCGCCCTTTTTCTATATTCTCTTTTTCTTTATTTCTTTCTTATTTTGCTTGCTTGCTTACATGGCCAGAACCCTCCAGCCTGAAGCGGCGGCCGACAAAGCTGTCCGCTACAGCGCGGTTGATAGTAGCACCCCAACCCTTCATCTTGACCGGCCGTGCGCACTTGGGAGGCTTGTGGGAGCGGTTGAGAAAAAAGTGAAGTAGGTCCGTATCTGGAGAACGGGACGACGGCCAGGCAAAGAGGGAGGGCAATGGAGCAATGCACCAGCTATATAAGGAGTCGCGTGCGCATCTGGACGTTAATAAATTATTAATTGACAACGGGATTTGTGTCGGCCATCTTTATATGCTCCATTTTTTTTCTTTTTTTTGTCACGTAGTTATCTTATCGCTCGCAAAAATGCAGCTGTTTCATTGGCTATCCTTTTGCTTTTTTACGGGTCGATTCGGCTTTTGCTGTGGCTGCGGCTAGTCTGGTGTAAATCCTCTCGTTTAGTTTTTTTTCATTTGTTCATACAAGTTTGGCTGGGAGCAAGCACAAACAGGCTGGTAGGAGAGGGGCCGAACCAAGGAAATCTCGGCAAGGGTCAAAGCCCCTTGTGCTGCTGTTGTTTCCCGAACCAATCCCAGCATTGTGTCAGCGTGGCGAACTGGCGTCGTCGCACATGCACGAAACGCGAGCTTGCTGGTGGCTGCAGACAAGCTGGTAACTAGGCAAAACGCCGATTGCTCTCTCTTCGGCAATTACAAACTCGTTAGGAGCGGACCCATCTGTAGACAGACAGGATCTTGTCCTTGTCTGCCCTCTGGATGTTACAAATACAGCTTCTCGAGGTTTATCTGAAAGCAATGAGGAGTTGTTTGCCTCGCAATCTTGAAAATGCGCAGTTGGATGGAAGACGCATTCATCATCGTCGTTATCAAGCTAGGCATGCATGGATATTCTGAGTTTGTTCAACTTGGGTTCAGTAACTGGGGGCTACCACGCGGCGGGGAACTCCGCAATGTCTTCTTCCTTGCTGAATAGTACATACCAATTCGTACTGCCATAGGTCAGACCAGCAATCCACACGTCTTTGACAGTGCAGACTAGCCAGGCGCTAACATTGAATTCGCGACGACGCTGTCTGATTGGGACGGCGAGCGCCGGTGATATCATGGCTTTTCGGATTCTGTCCATCGTGTCCAGCACATTGTTCCCTCCCCCAAGCTTTCGACCTAGAACTAAAAGAGCTACCCCGCAAAATATGAATGTCGCACCCGCCCGGCCTGTTGGCGCGGCCTGATAAGTCTCTATCGACTCGCTTGAATCTGGGGAAACTGTGTTTTGAGCCAGCGGGCGGGTCCGAACGCTGCTAGGGCGGCATTTTGCAAGGAAGTTTCCCGGAATGAGGGTTTTCTGATATTGAGAGCTCTCCTACGGAGTACGGAGTACCTGAGTAGCTAGTATTCTCAAGCCAGTGTATTAACTGTATTAACCTTGTTCAATTAATCGATTGACACATGTTATGAACGGTCAGATAGAGCCCGTGCAGAGTGAAGGATTCAGGGGCTTACTGAGATAGGCAGAATCGAAGTCCGTAGAATATTGATGGGTTCGTTATATGGTTCTTGTGTAAATAAAAACATAACTAAGGCATAATGACCCTGGAGTAAGACTAAAGGGCAAGTGCGAGCGTACGAACGAAGCCTGCCTGTTGAAGAAGTACGCAGGTAAATAGATGTTGATATCCCTGATCTGAAAGTAACGAAGGGCCACGAAACAACCAACAATCCCACCAATACGCGTCAAAATATTCATCCAAGCCCTCAAACTCCACGAGAGAGCATGGAAAGATATGACAAAACATGGAGAAAAAAAAAGAATTTAATTTAATTGCATCATCCGTGAATCGAACACGGGCCCCATCGAATTCGGGTCACGTGACCGCGGTTACTGCGTTTGCAATGGCAACGATGGATTCTACCACTAGACCAATGATGCTGGCTTCTTGTTGCTCCAAAAAAGGGAGCAACAACCCCAATCCATGGGTGGCTAAAATAGACGCCAATAATTAGTACGCGCCATATGTCATCGCGCCTGCGCGTGTTGCAAGGGTTTCTAACAAGCTGATATCCATGACCCTAGGGAGCCTCAAAAGCGCTTGAAATCAATACGCTTCTATACTCAAATCAATTGAACTACCGCTCTTTTATTCTAATAATTACGAGGCTAGCTGCATAGTGTCAAAAAAACCACCATCTAAAGATGCCTGTCGTGCGCAACCGCCGTCGCGCTGTAGGTTTCCATCCATATCCAAGGGAAATCGGACCTTCAAAGAAGTTTACTTAGCGTCCTGGCTAACTCATCTATCTCATTCCATTTTCCGGAACAGCCCGATGAGGAAGGTGAAGCGGAGATGAACTCAGACGCCTCATCAGAACCCCAGCAAGCTGCTTCCCAACGATCCAGACAACAACAAAAACGACAGCGGCGCCAGGCCTCTGATTCCGACTCAGATGCCTCTGCAGATGGCCGGTCAACGCCGGATACGTTTACCCAATTACACAGAGCCACTGACGTGATGGTCAAGAAGCTGGTGCGGCTCGCGCTTGCAAGCGAGTATTCGCGGCAGGTGATTCGGCGGACTGATATCAGGGATAAAGTGCTGGGCGAGCATGGGGCGAGGCAGTTTAAGCTGGTTTTTGAAAAGGCGCAGACGGAGTTGATAGAGAGGTTTGGCATGCAGATGGTAGAGCAGCCGTTAAGGGAGAAGGTGTCAATAAGTCAGAGGAGAGGTGAGAATCTTTTTTTTTTGTAATATTTTCCCCTCCCTTACCTGTTGAACTTCTTTCCAGATTGATACCCTTTCTTCTTCTATACATGTGGGAAACAAAATATGCACAATAATATAACTAACCATTGCCTTCGATACCAGCTGCCCAACGCACCGAACGGCCCTCCACAACCTCCAAAACCTGGACGGTCGTAACCGCCCTTCCCCCCGCCTACCGCACCCCAACCATCCTGCCACCAACACGAGCACCCTCCTCCACAACCGAAAGCACTTACACCGCCATCTACACCTTCATAATATCCACCATCCTCCTCTCCGGCGGCTCCATCCGCGAACAGAAACTCGACCGCCTCCTCCGCCGCGTCAACGCGGATAACTTCACACCCATCGACCGCACGGACAGGTTACTCGCGCGCCTATGTAAGGAAGGTTATATCGTACGTAACCGGGAAATGGATGGTGGGGAAGAGGTTGTGGAGTATCTTGTGGGGCCTAGGGGGAAGGTTGAGGTGGGTGTTCTGGGCGTGTCGGGGCTGGCGAGGGAGGTTTATGGGTTCGGCGAGGGAGGGGGTTCGAATGTGAATGGGGGTGAGGGTGTTGGTGCGCCTGCTAAGAGGCAGGAGGAGGTGGAGGCGTTTGAGAAGAGGTTGAAGAGGAGTTTGGGGATAACGGAACCGTTGCATTTTGGGAGGGAGGAGGGTTATGGGGATGGGGATGGTGATGGGGGCAGTGAGGCTTGATAACATATCGGTTTCTGCTAGACATTCCTCTCTCTCTTTTTTTCCCCCCCTCTACATGTTATTAGTACGTGATGATTTTGTACTTCCCAGCCTCCTCATACACCTTGGTCAAGGGGAGCTTTTGATCTCGATGCGAATACCTTTTAGCACTTGCCGTTTTACATTTGACGTATATATGGTATATTTTTTTAAAGGGGAAAATGTTTCAATTTATTTGTCATATATCTCTCCGCCCTCCTCCCTCTATATTGCCCTTCGAATAAAGGAAATGAAAACAAGATGACAAGAAGAAAGGAAGAAAGTTGATTGGTAGCTACACCTTGCGAGCTTTCTCTATTCCTATTCCTTATACAGGTGGGTATATCTATATATATACTGAACGGTCGTTTCGGGCGCGGGGAGTGCGTGTAAATTGAGACGAAAGGGGGGAGGGAGGGAAGCGTGTCGGGGGCGGGAAATGCGCGTACTGTACATGTACAGATAGGAGGGCTGCATACAAAACATGAGCCACAATAACTCGAGGGGAAATAAAGGGAACAGATGGGGGCAACAGGCAAGAGGTTTCGTTCAGGCCAGAGCGAAATACATAATAGGGAGATAATAAAGGAGGAGACACCTGCAAAATATGCATCCAACACTAGGTAAAGGGGCAGCTGTCCGCTTTTCGCTCATTACTTCCCCGTCCCTTCGATTTCTCTTTCGTTTTCGCTGATGCGCGCGCACGTTAATTGAAAACGCTGAATTGATTCTAAGATAGCGGAAGTTGGAACGGAACAACAACAACAAAAAAAAAAAAAAACAAGAAGATTCGTAAATGGGGGCATGCTCTCCAACCCACGCAACCGCCCTTGGGCTCCCATGTTCTCATCCTCACTCGGAATCACTCGCACTATTCCGGCCGCCAGCATCATCATCACTATCTGCATCGTTCTGTAATGCCAGCCCTTCATTCAGGAGATATTCCGCCTGCCTCAATTCCTTGCGCACGTCTTCCGGTATCATATCTGGTAATCGCGAGGGGGTCTCGCCGTGTTTATTCGTGACTCGCGGGTCACAACCCGCTTCGCACATCATTTTTATCATTGTGATGGCGTCTGGGACGGAGTTGTAGCGGCTTGTATCGTTTGCGTAGCGCGCGACGAGGTGGAGGGGAGTTTCTTTGTCGAGTCGGGTTTTTGGGTCACATTCGAAGAATTCTATGTCGAAGAGGAAGTCGGCTGCGTGGTCTGTGATTTGTGCGTATGGAAGTAGATTGTTAGATGATATTGTTTTTTCCCTAGTTCCTTCACGTGAAAAGAATTGCGTTGCTTGTGGGGTTATTGGGATCACTAAATGTGAGGTGATGGAGAGCCGGGTATAGAGTTAATTGGGATGACAAAATGTAGACTATGCTACTCACAGCTGCCATGCATAGCACATATATGAAGCGCATAATTGCCCAAGGGGTCCGTAACGCTATTAAAAAAAGAAGCAATTTCCGCACTTGTTTTCTTCGCTTTTTCCATCTCTGTAAGGACCTCTTCTAGGGCATCGGTGTTATCTTCGCGGCAGGCGGCGGAAACTCTCTCGGCGGGACTGGCTCCCTAAAATTCCGGAGCTTTGTGAGAAAGTTTGGCTTTTAACTAGATTCATAAAGGGCTCAAGATGTGACTGGAGTCGACGTACCTCATCGTCCGTTGCTATCTTATCATTTGCCGTGGGCATTGTGTTGTGTCTGTTGTTTGCGGTTTGCCTAGAACGTTATTACGAGGCCGGGTGCGGGGTTTGGTTTGCGCTCTCGAGTTTCAGTCAAAATTCGAGGGCCTATGAATATAGAAAAGAAAATAGATCAAATTCATGTGAAGTTAGCACGGGTTAAATAAACAAATCAGGGAATACTCGACAAACAAGCGCTGAAGTTGAAAGCCTTAAAAGTCATGAAGGGGCGGACGCAGTGGACAACCAAAGCGGGGGCGGGAACCTACCAGAGCTAAGATATGATGTTTCTGCACAGTTAACTAACCAAAAGGAGTGTTATCCTGACCTGTCAGGTATACCCCAATCAGCTAAGGAGAGACTTGGTATAGAGTGTCGCCGTCCTTACTCTTGTTATGACATCGTTAAATGTTCCCAATTGCGTGTTTCGTATCAGCCAAGCCCCTGTATCATGGATGTGCAACCAATAAATGCAGGAACAAAGATATTCCGGGCGCCCTTGTGTATTTTGCCGCGATGTCCAAAGTGCCTGCGCTTAATTAATTAAGGTACGGAGTCCTGATAGGCAAAATTAGGCGTGCGGGAACATTTTTCTTGGCAGATTGGCCAATCAGGAAGCTAACCTTTTTAAATCTTAGCTCCCGGCCTCTGAGGCTCCGAGGTCTTGACCCATTCTGCTCAATTAGCTCATGGGAACTACGAGGCACTCCTGGAGGTTACGACGGGATGCAATGAGTTCGCACGACATACCTTTTTTTGGAAATTCTTCGGTGTGACAATGATATCACTATCTATACCATATACATTTAGATAGTCATTGATTCGCTCCTCCCCAATCACTGAGAAATTCAGCAGGAAAAATGCCATTGACATGTGAGTCTCTCAACCTTCATCCAAATACTTATATGAACCGCATAAGATCCCCCGCTGAATAGACCACAATCTGATTCGCAATGTGTTTCTAGTTTGCCCTAACTGTAGCAATACCCTTACCATCTCCCGGGCGGATCCCACCCCTCGCTACCCGCTAGGTATCAATCGATTCGAATGCCGAACCTGCCCCTACCAGTATGTCCTCGACCGAACGTACTACGAGCGGACAGAGATGAAGCGGAAGGAAGTTGCAGATGTGTTAGGAGGGAAAGATGAGTGGAAGAATGCAGATAGCCAAGGGAGTGAGTCACCACCTCCCCCTACATTTGCTTGACGTGGAAGCAATTCGGATCGTCCCCTTCTACCAGCCCTCCCTGCCCCACGATTGGAGAGATTTTCCTTTCGGCTGCTTAGGCCTACAGACGTGCATTTCGTCTCTATATCTTTTGCCACGAGTTCTGATATTTGATCCGTCTGTCCGTTGTATGACTTGCAGCGCAATGCCCCGCCGAAGGCTGTGATGGCGACCGTGCATATTTTTACCAGTTGCAGATTCGAAGCGCGGACGAGCCAATGACTACATTCTTCAAGGTACGATATATAAGTCTTAAAAAGAACCAAACATATGATTTTATGCTCCCTCTCTTCCCCACTTCCCAGGATTTAGATCTTTGTAAAAAAAAAAAAAAAATGAAGGCCAATGCTGAGCTGACAACAAATGGCAGTGCACGACCTGCGGGGCCCGATGGAGAGAAAACTAGGGGAGGACAGCTCATCAACTCGTCTGCCTCTATTTATGAGTCATCTCGTCAAATTCCTTGTATTACTCAGATGGTTTGGCCTGGTTTTGTCATTGTCGCGGCTCCAAAGCAGCTGTGGTCGCTCATTTGAACCAAAGT